AGTCCCACCATACATCTATGCAGTATTGTAAGATTTAAACTTACGTCTAAATTGAATTTTTTTTATAGTAGTTATTAAGAGGAAATGAAACATAACAATAACTTACTGCCAATTATCTTACTGACCAGTGTAGGATATAAAAACACGGAGGGGAATGTGTAAGTGTTCATTAATCATTACGCCATGAGGTCGATTAAGAATGTCAACACACTACCGAAGATCATGAATATCCGATGAATAGAATCTCATCTTCATGTTGATGCGCAAAACCTAATGATTTCTTTTCAATTTGCATTTGATTACAGTCTGTACGTTTTAGTTCATTGTGTGTAAATCGATGAAATAACAATCACTATTGACAGGTTGATCAGTTTCGGATAGTCTATAGTATCTTCCGACACTGTCGACCATTTTTCTATTCATTTAACGGTTGAGTGCAGTTTATTCGAATGAGAATTTTGTATAACGTTACATGTCAGGAGGCTCTAACGTTTATTGTATATCTTTAATCTGACATTTAGAGCTTCGCTGTACTAGTATATTTACACAGGATAAACGCTCCTATGTTAAAACTGTTGCAGAGAACCTTAGCCGACTGACTAGAAAATATTTAATTAAATTCTATTATGAATTTCGACTTAGTAAATCATGATGTTACGGTTAAACATTGATTGAAACATTACAGTGGTTGAAAATTCTTCACTGGAAAGTAATCATAACACAAGTTGAAAAGCTAATGTTCAGTTCCCAAACCGGTTGGTGGGTACAAAGGATCCACCTTGGGGAGTTGAAAAATCCCGGATTCAAACTAATGGTGCACATGGGGTGAAGGGTTTTGTCAGTCAATCAGTCAGTTACAACGTAGAACTTCGTACGTAAGTACATCAGTTCATGGCAACATGAAGGATCTATTGTGAAGAGGTTGTTAAATTTTCACAGTTTACATCAGAAGCTTAGTTATACAGTTACTGAAAACTAAGAAATACTGATCGGTTGTTTCACCTTAAAATGTATCTCATCAGTAAAGTGCTGATATCCAGTTATAATTCTCAAAGTTTTAGTAGGAAACCACGAAACCGTGGAATTCAATTGCAAACCTATGTGCCTTCAACAAACTGGTCATCGGTGGCACAATATTCCCGCACAAACGCATACACAAAGCTACATGGATTTCACCGGATCACACTACTCAAAACCACATTGACCATATCTGTATCAACAAAAAGTTCAGCAGGACCATCGAGGATGTGAGAACCAAGAGAGGAGCTGATATAGCTTCAGATCACCATTTGCTGATCGCCAAAATGAGATTGAAGCTAAAGAAGCACTGGACAACGGGGCAGACAACATCACACAAGTTTAATACAGCCTTTCTTCGGGATACCGTAAAACTCAACGAATTCAAGATAGCCCTCACCAATAGGTTCCAGGCCTTTCAGGATCTACTCAATGGAGAGGAAGCAACATTGGAGAACAATTGGAAAGGGATTAAGGAGGCAATCACTTCAACATGTCAGGAGGTCCTTGGTCGCAAGAAGCACCATCACAAGGAATGGATCTCTGTTGATACTCTCGCAAAAATTGAAGAAAGGAGGAACAAGAAGGCATCAGTGAATGTCAGCCGAACAAGAGCAGAGAAAGTTAAGGCGCAAGCCGAGTATACAGAAGCAAACAGGGAAGTGAAGAAGAGCATCAGAGCTGACAAACGAAGATATGTGGAAGATCTAGCAATGACGGCGGAAAAGGCTGCAACAGAAGGAAACTTGAGACAATTGTACGAAACAACAAAGAAGCTCGCTGGAAACTATCGTAAACCAGAACGACCAGTGAAAAGCAAGGAAGGGAAAATAATCAGCAACACTGACGAACAGCGAAATAGGTGGGTAGAGCACTTTCAGGAACTTCTGAATCGACCAGCTCCACTGAACACACCAAACATCGAAGCAGCATCCAAGGACCTCCCAATTAATATTGGCGCACCTACGATTGAGGAGATCAGTATAGCAATCAGACAAATCAAGAGCGGCAAAGCAGCAGGACCAGACAACATTCCAGCAGAGGCAATGAAAGCAGATGTGGAAGCAACTGCGAAAATATTTCACATTCTCTTTAAGAAGATTTGGGATGAGGAACAAGTACCATCAGATTGGAAAGAAGGATACCTGATCAAAATACCAAAGAAAGGCGATCTCAGCAAGTGTGAGAACTACACAGGCATCACTCTTCTTTCAATACCAGGCAAAGTCTTCAACAGGGTATTGTTAAACAGAATGAAGGACTTCGTAGACGCCCAACTTCGAGATCAACAGGCCGGATTTCGTAAGGATCGATCATGTACTGACCAAATTGCTACATTACGGATCATTGTGGAACAATCAATTGAATGGAACTCACCTTTCTACATCAACTTCATCGACTACGAGAAAGCATTTGATAGCGTGGATAGGAAAACACCGTGGAGGCTTCTTCGACACTACGGTGTGCCTGAGAAAATAGTCAACATCATACGGAACTCTTATGATGGATTCAACTGCAAAATCGTGCACGGAGGTCAGCTGACAGACTCTTTTGAGGTGAAGACCGGTGTGAGGCAAGGTTGCTTACTCTCACCCTTTCTCTTTCTCCTGGTCATCGACTGGATTATGAAGACGTCAACATCTGGAGGGAAGCACGGTATCAACTGGACAGTTAGGACGCAGCTGGACGATCTGGACTTCGCAGATGACCTGGCTCTTCTATCGCACACTCAACAACAAATGCAAGAGAAGACGACCAGTGTAGCAGCAGCCTCTGCAGCAGTAGGTCTCAACATACATAAAGGAAAAAGCAAAATTCTCCGATGCAACACAACATGCACCAACCGAATCACGCTTGATGGAGATACCTTGGAGGATGTTAACACCTTTACATATCTTGGCAGCATCATCGACGAGAAAGGTGGATCGGACGCAGATGTGAGGACGCGGATTGGCAAAGCGAGGGCTGCATTTCTACAGTTGAAAAATATCTGGAACTCCAAACAACTTTCAAACAAAATCAAAATCAGGATTTTCAATACAAATGTCAAGACAGTTCTACTGTATGGAGCGGAGACATGGAGAACTACCAAAGCCATCATTCAGAAGATACAAGTGTTTATTAACAGCTGTCTACGCAAAATACTTCGTATTCGTTGGCCAGACACCATCAGCAACAACGAACTGTGGGAGAGAACAAGTCAGATTCCAGTGGAGGAGGAAATCAGGAAGAAGCGGTGGAAGTGGATAGGACATACACTACGAAAAGCACCCAACTGCGTCACTAGACAAGCCCTCACATGGAACCCTCAAGGCAAAAGGAAAAGAGGAAGGCCAAAGAATACATTACGCCGAGAAATAGAGAAAGATATGAGAGGAATGAACAAACAGTGGACAGAACTGGAGAGGGAAGCCCAGGACAGAGTTGGTTGGAGAAAACTGGTGGGCGGCCTATGCTCCATTGGGGGTAACAGGCGAAAGTAAGTAAGTAAGTAAGTTCTAATCAAACAGTCGCGTTTTCTTCGTGAATGTGCGGTCACTACAATCCTTTGAAAGTTATTCTTATGTCCTGTTTCTAATGAATGTATCACTAATGCCGACTTATGCTCAAGTTTCTCAAAGTCAACCGAGGCTTGAGGAAGATGTTTTAAGATTTTTTGGTGATCGTTCAGTCTCACACTCCGTTGTTTGCATGTTTTTCGACGAGCGGTGATGCCTGGTGTAGGGGGTAGGCTGAAAAAAACTAGGGGTAGCCAAACAAAAACATGACACAAATACATGAATTTACTCACAAGTGAACTGAGTAGTGTTAGTCGGTGTAGACTACCTGATTGCACTCTGCAAGATTATCGTAACCGATAGTTAAACACTGAATAATATGGCCCAAAATCGTTTGCAATAGTGTAGGTGCATTTAATTCTTTGTCTCCTCCCAAATTCTAGTCTTTTGAATTCCTCCTCTTAAATTTATTTCACTAGGATATATATCTGGAATCGTATTTTCCATTCATAATCTTTTCCATTATCGTTAATACTACTACAACCTCCACTACTGTGACATTTGGCTTAAAAATTCGTTCTCTTTGTGTTAATGTGGTATGGGAACTTGAAATGATGTATGTACTTATGAAGTCCTCGTTGTAGATGACTGACTAACTCACACCTAACATGTCTTTTGGGCAGTTGTTTGCATTAAGTGTAGACAAGATTAAATTCAACCCAGTCTGCTGACCTTCTCTTCATCGGTAACGAAAATACTATTTCTGCCAAGATTTTAATATAGAATTGATCATTAAGAGCTACACATTCATCGATAATTTTGATTTTACATAATTGAAATCATCAATTAATCATTCTTAGACTACCATTAGAAATCTGAAAGCACTGGACGGCCGTTTAGTCCTGGTATGGGATTCATCAGTAGTGCGCATCCTGCCCCTCA